CTGTCTAAACATATTAATAATAAATCCTTCTGTGACTATTTATAAGTAAACCAAGAGCCAAATTGTAATCAAATAAGGTGTAGTCCTGAACTATCCACACCTCTGAAAAACAAATGAATTAACAAATTAAGTATTTTATCAGTCTCTTATGGAAGATAAGCATTTTGCTTCCCTGCAATCTATTAACTGTCCACAGCATCTAAATAAATTTAATGCACAGATGAGAAAGTCACAGATGTTGCAAGATACATAGATCCATAATCAAAATTACTGGATTCATACACCCTGTTAAAAGCATTGCCCATTAGCAGAAATCAATAGTGTGTTATATATTTTGCTCTATAAACAAAACTTAAGGTGTTACTGATACGACAGGAACACTGGAACAGGTACCCACTTTCAAGTATGGAGTTCAAGTAGGGGAGTGAATGGGAGAAACTGCCCTCAGTCCACTTCAACCAAGGAGTGAACTGAGCTCCTCCAAGCAGATCCCACAGGACAGGAGTTGGGGGACTGACTTATACTGAGTTCTCATTCTGAAAAAAGCATTCCCTTTGAATTATGTTTAAAAATGTGTCTCCCCTCATGAGACATGACATCTCACATTCATGTCAAGCAAATTCTGAATGTTTTACCTACAACGCCACAGCTGTTCTTGCATTTGGTTGGAGTTGGTAGAAATGTTACATTGTGTTGTCCACAATTAAAAATAATATTCTTTTCCCTTTCCTATGAACACTTTCTCCATACAAAACAGCCTTCAGCCTACGCGGGCAAGTAGAGTATAATAGCTGGATGCAAATCCAGAGAAAACTGGAGTAAATAAAAACATATTACAAAGAAGAAACACTGTGTCTGGAGACCCCTCTCAACAATTATTTTCCACTTGACCTCCTACAAACAGTTGTCATCAGAGAGCTGTGTTAGCACTATCAGACTGTAATTAAGTCTTCTGTATCTCATAAAAAGGGAAAACCAAGCAACTTGCCAAATGCCAACCACGAGGTAGAGGATTTTAATATTGTTAAGGGTGAGGGAGCACCTTGCTACCTTAGCGCTGAAAAACTCAGCCACTCCAGCACCAGATAGTCAGACACTCTGCTTTCCAAAGAGACACACTTCTCCTTTCCCTGCTATGCCTAAGCACTTGTTACTGCTGATGCTCATCTACATTCACCAAGACTGAGAAGCTAACTACTTGTAGACCTGTTCAGTGTCTGGCTCTTCAGAGTAACGTGTTTCCCAGGAGGAAAATACTAATTTTCTTCTATGTGTGAGCAAGTACAGCAGAAGAAAAATATCTATTTTATTACAAAAACTATATTATCAGTGGAAAAAACACAAACAAATAGTCATCTTTACATAAGGAATCTCATTCATCTAAACACAAATTACAAATATACACTCAGATGGAAACCACACTCACATAGTACCATTTAAAGCTAGTAAAGAAGGAGGAATGGAAAGAGAGGAATGGATTAATTTGCTTTCAGGTGGATTACGCTACTGATTTTTAATGTATATTGGGATTGCACTCTGCATGGATCTAGATAAAATCACTGCACCCCATTCCGAAAAATACCAGGCAACATTGTGATAGTTTTCATTTACTTTGCTAAAAATTTAAAAAAATCTGTGATCAATACAGTTTCCTCAATAATTATATCCAAATGTAACAGCAATTTTGCCCTGCAACAAAATGTCGCTGAATCTGATCGGTAGTTGTAGGACAAGACAAAATATATGTTCTTCTTTTATGAACCCTCCACATTTGCAGAATAAAAACTCCTTGGACTAAGTATTTTAGACTGATATTGCAGAATAGTAAGGTGCAATAATACAAGAAAATAATTTCAGTTGATTAACAGTATAGAGAAATTCCACCTTACTTTTATAGCAACAGGGTCCACAAAGTCAGAGTGACTTCTGAACACTCCATTACTTTGGTTATAGCAACTCACATCTTTATAAGGTTTGCTTCAAAAACAAACAAAAAAAGCTTTAGAGGTGAATAAGTCCAAGGTTTGAGGTTTTATCCAAGACTCAAAACATAAATTAAAGGGACTTTCAAATAAGCAAAGTGTTGGTGTGCTGCCACTCATGTCAATGGGAATAACCACCAGACTGAACTCAACATTAACCTTGCTTCAACATTTTCATATCCAGCTGAAAGCACTCTTGCCTTTCAGTTGTTATGACAAAAAAAGACAAACACATGACTTGCTCTTTTTTGTTGTCAAACGCTCCATCTTTTTTTTTTTTTCTTCACCACTGTCAACAGCTAAACAACCAGCATAGGGAACTTAGTGTGTATTTTTGTGAAGTGAGCGCTGCTTTTCCAGAAACAGTTAAAGGATACCAAGACAGTCCTCTTTAAAAGCTCATGAGAAAAAAAAGTTAAAATTTTTCCATTTCCTGACGTTTTAGTGTTGCTGTTGTAAAAGAAAACATTTATCTGTAAACATACAATATGCACCAATGTAAAGTCTAAATAAAATGAGGCATTGCAGATCTGTTGGCAATTACATCCTTCGGAAATATCCTAAATCCTGACATGTTGAGGAAAAAACCCTGACGACTGCTGAACACAAGTAACTCCTAGTGACTTCAGTAGGAGTTGTGGATATTTCAGCCTTCTGTGGATTAAAACGAGGAGGCACGATTTTTATCAACAGAACAAGAGCTGCTCAGTGCTACATGTGATTTTAACAGCAAACTCTATCAAATCAGAAAAATTGTATCACATCGCAGCGCTTACCAAGAAAACACGTTTAGCTAGTAATCAGGGTTCAGCAGAACAGCAGCTGACAAGGTAACATGCATCACCCATATTTATTTATCTAAACTGCTGGCGCACTGTGCTCGTTTTCCATCCCTTTTTATTACCCTGCATACCTTCAGGGATGATGTACACAGCACATCAGGTGTCTCTCCCCTCACTGCTATTAAGCGTTAGGAACGCCACAACTCACTCAAAGTATGCTTCCCACTTTCACATCAGCCAGCCACAGCAGAAAAAAAAAATCCCAAGGCAAACTTGTGTAAAATATTTTAATTTAGGCTAACGAGAAATGATGAAATGACCCTTGATAGCACAAGACTACTTCCATGACTGCTCATTTTTGCTGATGTACGCAACATGTGGAAAGACAGGTTATTCTGGAATTGCATTAACTAGATAGGAAACATTGATGTTCCTGTATACATGAAGGCCCCCAAACACAGACAAAACCAACTGTTTTGGCTCATTTGTAAACTTCTAGATGCAAAAATGATTCAATCTGTTAGAAAACCACTTATACAAAGTGCTCTTTCATGTACTTTGCATACTAGATTTCATAAGTAAATTGAAGTTTCACAGTCAGACTAAGTGTACTGCTTTTGAGCTCTGAATACTTGAAACCGTGTATCATTGTGAAGCCAGTTTTCCTTCCAAGTTCTTAAGCAAAATCACCGCATGTTTTGAAACAAACAAGAGAGATGTGAAAAATCCATGAAAAAGAGCTAGAGGCTGTTATTTTGCTTTATATTAAGTGACACTTTGCAAATGGCATCCTGCAAGTTATGCCTTAACTCCTTGTTAAAATGCAACTAAAATCTATATTACTCCACTTCACACACACAGGTAAAGTACATAATTGAAAGTGCACTAAAAGACTTGGGGCAAATCCATGAAACATATAAATTACTTGATTGCCTCTGAATAATAAATTGTTCCCCAGCAGATTTATAATAGACTGTTTTACTGTAGAAACACATTTCTGACATCAATAGGCACAGTTTGCTGAAGAATGAAAAATGGTTTAAAACAACTTTGGAACTGGGAAGTAAGTCGGACTGCAATGCTTCTGCTGGCTGGCCAAAATGATGTTTCATCTCTCTTTTTCTCATTGAATACCAATATGAGACAGCAAATGATCCATTTGCTTTGGATCACAATGCTATTTTCCCCACTCATCCCTGGAATAATACTGTCTCAGGCTGCTGGAGGAATAGAAATGCTATCAATTCACATTAGCTGTAAAGTTTTCCTTCTCAGCACTCCTCTACTGAGAAGCCAGGAGAGGAATGGGAGCCATCACCTTGAAGGTGCCAGTAATGATCTATGGAAAGATGTCCTGGAGCACAGGGAACTGAACTCTGTGGAGAGCTCTGTAGCTTTTCTGCATCCCTGACCGATTTCTCCATCAGCAGTCTCTGCTATGCTCCTTGCTCTATGTACAGTGACTTTGGAAGCTTTAACACTCATCATCCCATGAACACGAAATACAAATGCACTTCACAAACATATATGCGCACACACGCTCACTCTCAAGACACACGTGCACACACACACTCACTCCCCCGGCATCACATGCAATTCATTCCAAGTCCCCTGTGTATTGCTTAAAAAACAGAAACCAAGCATACACACACCAAAAAAAAAAACAAACCCAAACCAACCCCCCAAAAAACGAAACAAAAAAACCAATTAACCAAAAAAAAAAAAAAAAAAACACACAAAAAACCAAACCCCAAACAAAAAAAAAACACCCTACCAAAAAAAAAAACTCGCCCCCCCCCCCCAAAAAAAAAGGCCACAACCAAAAAACAACAAAACACAGAAAGGAGGAGGGAATGAGGGGGGGGGGGGGGCGCGGAGAGGGAGAGGGGGAAGTAAAAAAGAGAAGCTTTTTTTTTCCTGCTGTTGCTGTGGCTCCCAAGCATGCAGAGCTAAGGAAGAGTAGTTCCCCACTTTCATCAGCTAGCTACATCCTTGGGATAAAAGGGAGCAGTCCGTAATGATGCTGAGGCTGCAGAAGGCAAAATAAGGCTTTGCAAACATGCCTGACTCCCCATGAAATTCTCTCCTCCACATTCCCTTCTCCCTAAAACCTGTCCTAAATGGGGGAGGGGGGCGGAGGGGACGACCAAAATCAAAATACCTAAAAAGCAACTAAAACAAAACAAAACAAAAAAACAACACACAAGGAAAAAAGTGATGAAAAGACACAACTCACCTTAACAAGGGGTGTTGGATGGGGTCAGAGAGGAGGAAGGGTATATAAAAAGATCTATTTTTAGCAGAGGTTGTGATAGTATTGAAACACACAGACACAGGGTTTGAAAGCAGGGAGAAAAGTATAAAAAAAACGAGGGGAAGAGAAATTATCAAGAAGGTGTAAGTCAGTCTGGCAAGAGAGAGAAGAATCCCCAAGAAAAAAAAAAGAAAAAATTTAATAAAAAAAAAAAACAACCACCAAATGCCGAGAGGAGAAAGAGGGAGAGCGTGGCTGTGCCAGGGTTGTGTTTTGTTTCTCTTCGCTGGGGGCGGGCAGAGGCGGCGCGGCGGAGTGTGTGGGGGGGTGTTGTTCGCGCTTTCGGCGAGGGTCCCCTCGCTGCCTCCCCGCGGGACTGCCGCGGCCCGAGCCTCTTCCCGGCGGCTCCGGGCGGCCGGGCTCGCTCCTCGCCCGGCTCCGGCGGCTGCGGCGGGCGCGGCGCTCCCGCGGCTCGCTGGGGCTCTGCAGCCGCGTTCACGCCGCCGCTCCTCGGCCACCCCCGCGCCCGCGCTCCCGCCGCCGCCGCCGCCCGCGGGCGCCCCCCGCCGCCCGCCGCTGCGGGCCGGGGCGCGGGGAGGCTGCGGGGCCGGGACGGCGGGACGGCGGCGGCGAGAGCCGCGCCCGCGGGCGGGAGCGCGGCGGGGCGGGTGTTCTCCGCGGTGCCGGCGGCTGCTGCCGCGGAGAGGGACCCGAGCGGGCGGCTGCGGGGCCAGAAGTGCCGGTGCGGGTCTGGGGGAGCCCCGTCCCTGCCCGCGGTCTCCGTGCGGAGCCCGGGCTCCGCTCCTGCGCCCAGCCCTCCCGCGGCGCCCGTGGGGTGAAGGGAGCTCGGGGCTGGGAAGCGAAACTTGGGCATGGTGAAAGGCGGCCGGCGTTTGGACAGCTAAATGCTGTTTTATCGGCGGCACATCTGCGGCGCTCGGTATCGTTGGGAAGAGCAGCAGCAACAAACCAAGGAGGCTGAGAACTGCACTTATTTGTGTTAAAAGTAGTAAAACTGCATCCAGCCTTGCCTTTAATACAGAAGCGTGGCTCACAGAGAGCGGCGCCAGCAGATGATGTTCATCTTTGGTCCAAATGGAAGCCACTCACAGCATTTTGTTGATGAGGACTATCAGCTGGTCACATTTATCTCAAACAGCTGATAAAATCCAGCAAACATTTAGGTGTTACCGAAGGAAGCTTTTACCCGACTTATCACCCCCAGGAATACTCTGTGACTAAAAATAAATCCTGTGGAAGTTGTTTTTAAGCAGATAAATATAAAAACTCCAGACACCTTTTTATATTTTCATTGTCTAGATCAAAAGAAATAAAAAAAAAAAAAAGAGAAGAGATGGAAAATTTAAGTGCAGAGAAATAACTGAGCTTTAAAAAGTGCTTTATTTCTATCTACAGTGCTATTAACAACAGTAAGTAAATATGTCTGTTTATGACTTGCGATTTTGAATTGGCATTGCCCCATAAATGATGAGAGCAAATGCAGGCCAAGCTGTTGGATTCACAACTTGCAACTGATATACAAGCTGTACTTCAGCACCACTCTTACACTGAGATAAGCATATATAGTAAACAGAAAGATATGCTCCAGTATGTAAACTCTGTAATTGTACATACTTACTCCATAAGTATATATAGTAAATAGATATAGCAAATAGTAAAAGGATATGTTCCAGGATGTAAAGTGATGCTAAGAAAGACACTTACACTACTATCGTTTGTTGATACCTGGCAGTAGATAAAGCTATCTGGAATGAGTGTTGTGGAGGTATGTAATGGTTGCTCCTAAATATTGGCCTCAGTACCCACAGAGAGGATGTTACATGTACTAGCTGCCTATGTGGGTTCTGCAGGCAATCCAGAGGTTTGGCGGCCAAACTGTTGGATACCATACCATTAGTGCAATATGGCAAGGGATGTGGAGTGCCTAGTTTTATTCTCCATTCAGAGAGTGACTCTGACCTTGCAGGAGCCTTTAGAACACTCCCATAGGGGCTCCCAGGGATAAACTAGTTATCTCTGTGCTCTGGCTTACCAGTCATTATCAGCTGAAATACAGGAGGAGGTAAAATATTTCTGAACTGAAGTGTTTCTTGGAACCAAAACATCCTCGCTAAATTAAATAGAAAAATACATCCTAAGAAACAATCAACAATTTCACTATCCTGTATTTTAACTCTTTTTCTTTCTCCAGATAAAGAGGTGCTTCCTATGGGTTTACAGCAGAGGAACTGGAGGAATAATAAAATTTCCAAACCTCTCATATGAAGTATAAATAAAATAAGGCGATATAGTTCCTTTAGTGAGCTTCACACAGGACTCAGAGGAAGAAGATCTTCTGTCTTGTTGCAGGCTCAGTTTCTGCCCATTTCTTCTGCAGTTTCATCTGTGAACTAAATTGTTCAACAGTCTAAAGGATGAATCCAAGAGTTTACAGGGTTTGGATCATGTGTCTCGATTTTTAAAAAATATATGCAAACTTATTCACAACCCCATGAAGGGGATTAAAGATACTGGAAATAAACTCTGTGCTACTTTGAGTCTTGATTTCTGCAATAACTAAGTTGGGGAAACATTTTATACGTTGAAATGGGGGTAATGTTTTATCCATTATGCTAGTACATATTTTCTTTAATTTCAGTTCATTTTCCAGAAAATATATCTCAGCATGTATGTACATGAACTTTCTTTTTAATATTTATGAGTCATCTTGCACTGTTAGAAAAGCATAAATTTACTGTAAACCACGGGTGCATTTGGTATGCAGTACAAGGCTCTGACCATTACCAGTTCCCTGAGTCGCTCTATGCCCAGGAATATTGGGGTAGTACATACTGTAAATTATAAGTCTCTGTCCCTATTGACTTTCCCAAATTTGCACAGACTTATTATTTTTAATTCTAATTCTCCAGAAAAAAAAATTTAAAAAATGAGCAATCAAAAAAACCCCAAAAAACCCAAACCCAAACCCCTTTGATGAATGGTGTTATAGTTAAATGATTAATATAGTTGAATGAAAAGCACACACACTGGTAGTATTAAGGAACACCTAAACACAAAATGTTTAAAAGCCAGCATATCTTTTTAAAATGTTCGTTTCAGTTGCCACATCATAGGATCTGCATATTTAATATCTGATTTACAAGCATAACTTGGCACTCAAGTTATTTGCATGCTGGGAAGCAGAGAGTTTTACAGCTTAAGCATATATTTAAATGTATGGAAATCATGGCAAGGGTTAAAATCAGAGATTTTTGTTATCTACAGAGCTACTGTAGAAATCCTTTTTCCAGAAGGCAATATATCTGCATTACAGATAATTGCCTAAATTGCTCAAATGACTCAAACCTAGTCAGAAAGGTTATTGAGAGAACAAGACAGAACATCTAAACTGACACAAACAAAATCATTTGTCACAGTTCATTATATTGCTTCAGGGTGTCACTGTTGCTGCAAACAGTTAATGCCGGGCAGCTTTCCTCTGGTTTTCATTCAGGCTGTCCAGAGGAAGACATACTTTGCGTTTTGTTCAATATGAAACACACAAATCACGTATGTTGACAGAGCAACAAAGAAGTCTTTGAGGTAGAGAGATAAAAACTATGTCCTTATACTGTTGAAAGGTATGAACCAGGCCAATACGGACCTTTGTCAGTTGGTAGTACCTGTTAGCAGAAATTTTATCTGCTGCAGGGTAGACCTAGTCAAAAAGCACCTTCTTTGCATTCAACCTGTTGCAGATGTCTGCAGATCTCCACTGCTGACTAGAACTGTTCCCTCAAAGCCATGCTGTAGCCAACACGAGGTGAACTTGTTGTGCAGTCTCACCTTGAGTAGTGTGTGATTCTGGGCCCCTCCAAAGGAGGGCAACAAAGCTGGTGAAAGAGCTGTCCTGCAAGGAGCAGCTGAAGACTTTAGGTTTGTCTAGTTTGGAGAAAAGGAGGTTGAGGAGTGACGTCATTGCTTTCTACAGCTTCCTGAGGACAGGACACAGGGAGAGAGAAGTGCTCAGCTCTTCTCTTGGGTACCCAAAAACAGGCCATGTGGGAATGTTTCAAAATTTCGCCTTCCCCTTCTCCTTCCCCTTCCTGTTCCCTTTCCCCTTCCCTTTCCCCTTCCCCTCCTCTCCCCTCCCCTCATTTCTTCTCGTCTCCTCTCATCTCATCTCTTCTCATGGGTAGAGACATAATAAAAAATTCTTTCTAGATCACCAAGCATCAATTGAATGGTGCATGTTAGTGATACGTAGTTAGTGAAAGAGGCATGGTACCGGTCTCTCTGTCCTTGCTAGTGGTATATGCAGATGCTGTTCTTATCAGTGTAAGTTAGAAAGTGAATTTCAGGCCAATAAGTAGACTGTCTTTAATAATATTATCTCACGCAAATGGAAATACATGTATTTATTGTTTCAGTCCATTTGAGATCCTCTGACTGTTCCTGATATCTAGACTGTTTTCTGTTTCACCTGAGTATGGTAAAGTGTATGAATCATGGCCAGGTGTGAGGGAAGTCCACTCATCACTTCACAGGTTATAGACATCCCTGGGAACTTTTCATGGAGCATGTCAAAACATTCATTTAATGTACACTGTCAAATTTAGTGTGAATGTGCAAGCAATAGTACTTGAAGATGGTTGGGAAGTTCCCAGAGATCACAAAAGCCGATTACTTCACACCTGTAAGAAATGATCTCTCAGTTACCTGTTGCTCTGTAAGGGGTGTAGGCTTGCAACTTTGTTTTCTCTTGTACAATGCAATAGAAGCATATGTTCCATGGGTTTTAATAGTATGATTTACCACATTTGTGAAAGAAGATTTATTTCACAAGTGATATTAAAATGTGATGTTAAAATTCTGAAAATGTGACCAGGAAATAAAACAGGCTTTTGAATTGGAAAAAAAAATAAAATAGAAAACAACACTGAAATTAAACACTTCAGAATAGATGACCAACACGAATAAGTCTTCTGATCTTATAGTTATTGCTTTGTTAATATTTTTATGCACTTTGCCAATTATTATCAAAGACTTCTTTAAAAATGTTAGAATTATTCTATCCTACATGTCTTTAAAATGCTAAACATCCCTAATACTGTGTGGTGTTGAATGAGTTTTATTTGGTATTTGATTGCAGTTTGATGCAACTGTCGGCAATTTTAAATATCTAACTACATATTAATATAAATATGACATGCATTATCATATTTTTCTTCTAAAATTATTAACATTGTGATAGATCTGGATACAATTTTACATACCAATTTGAATTAACATGAACTAGCCTAATAATGTGCACTTGCAAGCAAATCTTTTGTTCCAGACTGAGGCAGAGCAATTGAGCTGGAAACCAGGCAGACAAATGATGGAGTTATGGAGGGAAATCCCTTCTCCTTCAGCAGAGAAGTAGCTGTTATCTTAAGTTCTCTATTAATATGAAGT